AATTGGGAATTTCACCTGATGTAGTATGATTCACTTGCAGAAAAATAAGAAATCAGTAAAGGGGCAAACACTTTTTCACACCATTGTACAAAATCCAATAGTCTGAAGTGAAGTAAAAAGGTTTCCAGATTTTCAGTTTGTTATTTTTAGCCCAAACAGTAGTTTTTAAATCACATTATTTTTATTTGAGATGTAAAATAAATGGCAGTTCATTCCGCTGTGGCGAAAATTAATGAGTGAGAATACATATTTTCTAACATTTGTAAAATAAAGCAAATATTACCGTTTTTCTCGAACACATATGATGATTTTCAAGTGGTATTTTTTTTTCCATAGCTGTATTTATATTAACTTCACAGTCAGAAAGGCCCCAAGTACAGCTGATCTAGTGTAGAGTACAACTTTTGTACAGCAGTGACTCAGGAGTGTAAAACCACACAGACCTCAACGAGTTGCATTATGATGAGATCAACATCACGACCACACTACTGCCGTTGGATCCCACAAACCCACGAACACTGTCAGAGACACACAACAGCAACTTTCTTATCTCTTGGTCTAAAGAGTTGTTGTCTGGCTCTGAATAATTCATTCATTTATTTTCCTTTGATTAGTCTCTATTTCAGAGGTTCAGAGGTTGGAATGAACCGCCAACTATGTCGGCATATGTTTCACGCAGCACATGGCTTTCAAGCCGCAACCCAGTACTAATAAACAGCCATATAGTTACACATTTTTACACTACAGACAAATTAGTTCATCCAATAACGCATGTTGTGGACTGTGGGAAACTGGAGCACCCAGAGGAAATACACGCAAATAGGGTAGAACATGACAACTCCACACAGAAATGGTCTTTCTACATTTCTGGTCACATGGAAAGCCTTGGGGGCAAAGCTATTAGTCATTTAGGGTGGGGAAATCATTTCTATATGGCAGAGTTAAGCTGCAGTTGCACTGGACTCCTCCCCCCCCCCCCCCCCCCCCCCCCCCCCCCCCCCCCCCCCCCCCCCCCCCCCCCCCCCCCCCCCCCCCCCCCCCCCCCNNAGACCAGAAACGATGGGTCATGCGTCAAGTTTCGCAGGTTGCTGCAGTGCAAAGTTCAAGCATAGTGAACTATGATCTGCGAAATCGCATCACTTGACTGTGTGAGACCAACCGAGGATCAAAACATGACCTCTCTGAACAGAAATTTAAAACATGGAGCAAATCACTCTCTTTATCAATATCTAACATCTTGTTTAATCCCGCCCCTTTTCGCAACACCGTATGACAGAATTTCACACACACAAACTCTAGCGTGATCGCAGTTTTATCAGTCCTTTAGAGCAGGGCTATAAGAAGGGGTTGTCAGTCATTTAGGGTGGGTCTATCAGTTCTTAGTCAAGTTATTAGTCTCTTAGGGCAGGAATATCATTCATTTCAAACTGGGCTATCAGTTTCTTAGGCTTGAGTTAACAGTTATTTACGCCCCATTCACACGGAACGTCAGCGTCAACGCTATCCATTCACTGCATGGGTGACGTTAGGGGTTGCCGAACTGTATTGTGGATCCATCGGTTGCTCACTGCAGAAGTTCTGACTTGCTCAACTTTTCAAGCGCTGTCGGAAGCGTCAGCCAATCAGATCGCTGTATGCAAATACACCAGCTCAGATTGTGGCCTAATGCTGACTAATTTCTTTGGCTAACGCTGCTATGACGATCGCATCAGCCCCAACTTCAGACACACCCTCTGTCAAGCGTTGATGCTGAAGCCTCGTGTGAATGGGGCGTTAGGGTGTGGCTATCAGTCCTTTAAAGCAGAGCTATCAATCATTTAGGGTGTAGTTATTATTCATTTAGGGTGGGCCTATCTGTTCTTTAGGGTGGGAATACCAATCCATTAGGATGGAGCTATCATTCATTTAGGGCATGGCTATCAGTCCTTTAGAGCTAGGTTATCAATCATTTAGGGTAGGGTTATCAGTCCTTTAGAGCAGGGTTATCAATCATTTAGGGCGGAGTTATTAGTTTCTTAGGGCGGGGTTATCAGTCATTTAGGGTGTGGTTATTAGTCCTTTAAAGCTATCAATTCTTTAAGGCTGGGTTATCAATCATTTAGGGCAGGGTTATCATTCATTTAGGGTGTGGTTACTAGTCCTTTAGAGCTATCAATTCTTTAAGGCTGGGTTATCATTCATTTAGGGTAGGGTTATCAGTCCTTTAGAGCAGGGTTATCAATCATTTAGGGCGGAGTTATTAGTTTCTTACGCCGGGGTTATCAGTCAGTTAGGGTGTGGTTACTAGTCCTTTAGAGCTATCAATTCTTTAAGGCTGGGTTATCATTCATTTAGGGTAGGGTTATCAGTCCTTTAGAGCTGGGTTATCAATCAGTTAGGGTGTGGTTATTAGTCCTTTAGAGCTATCAATTCTTTAAGGCTGGGTTATCATTCATTTAGGGTAGGGTTATCAGTCCTTTAGAGCTGGGTTATCAATCAGTTAGGGTGTGGTTATTAGTTCTTTAGAGCTATCAACTATTTAAGGCTGGGTTATCATTCATTTAGGGCAGGGTTATAAGTTTCTTAGAGTGAGGTCAGGGCTTACTTTATGCCAGAACATGCCAGATCTGGATCTAGCACCTCTAAAATCTGATCCGGCACCTCATTTTACCGATCCCCCTCCTCAACCGCCCTCTTCCCCATCTGCTGTTCACTTTCACTTTCTTCTGTGACTCCCCCGCCCAACTCTTCACTTTCGTGCACGACACTTCTCCAACTTCGGGTAACATGCCGGATCCATTACCTAGATCTGTTCTGGGACATTGCAGTTCACAAATTAAGCACTGGGCGGGGTTATCAGTCACTTAGAGCAGATTTATGGACCCTTTCCACAAGACTCTTATGACGCAATTAACGGCCATTATATGTATTCTTAAATCCTTGAAAGTTTTTAATATTTTGATTTTGAAAAACACATGAACATTTATATGCATTTATGTATGTATTATATTATCTTTGCATCAAATGACAAAAAACGAATTACCGCTTATGCGAGGTGTTTCTAATGCAGGGTCTATGGGGCTGAGAGTAAATTTGACATTAATCTCTCTTCTCTTTGCCATCATCAGTCTCACACATTTTTTTTTTTTCCTTTTTCTGAAAGTCTTGATAAAACCATAGAGGACATTTCCTTTTATTATTTCAGCAAATAGTATGGTAAAAAAAAAAGATTTGTACTCTCTGATTCACTGTGCTCTAAGTTTACCCAACTATGACGACTTCCGCTACTGAAAACCCGGAAATATGAAAATTGTGTATCAGTCATTTAGCGTGTAACTATCAGTCCTTTTGAGCAGGGATATACATTTTTAGGGCGGAGTTATCATTAATTTAAGGTGGGGTCATTACTTTCTTAGGGCGGAGCTATCAGTCCTTTAGAACAGGGCTGTTAATCCTTTAGGGCAGAGTTATCATTCATTTAAGGTGGGGTTATTACTTTCTTAGGGCGGAGCTATCAGTCCTTTAGATCAGGGGTTCCCAAACTTTTCAGGCCGCGACCCCCAAGATGTCAATGCCAGTGACTCGTGACCCCCAATGTCCTCTGAGGTGGTTATAAATACAGAAACCTTGCATGCAATGGAGCACACACACCAATGGACCCAAGTCTATTCTTCTTTTAATTTTTTTTTTTAATGTATGAGAGCTGGAAATGGGCCAAAAATTTTAACCAGGTGTTATGAAAACTGCTGCATCTGACGCTATTGCTGTGTCATTAATACAATATAATTACCCCAGGGGTTGCAATCCAATAGAAGTAGTAACTATAAGCTACTATAGTAACTATATATGGTATAAACGACAATTTTTTCTCTTCAGAAGGTTATGGATAAAATATGGAAATTCTTATGGTTTAATAAAATTAAATAGATTTTTGGAAATCACCAGGCGACCCCCCTTCATTGTCCCGCTACCCCTCGGGGGGTCCCGACCCCCACTTTGAGAACCATTGCTTTAGAGCAGGGCTATCAATTCTTTAAGATGGAGTTATTTATTTAGGGTGCACCTATCAGTTTTTTTTAGAGAGGAGTTATCAGTCATTTAGAGCATGACTATTAGCCCTTAAAGGAGGGATATCAATCCAATAGGGCAAAGCTATAAGTCATTTAGGGCATGGCGGGGATATCAATCCATTAGAGAGGGGCTATCAGTCAATCATAATAGGGGGGAAATTACTATTTTAACTTCTGTTTCATGTCTACTTCAATTTATCTTCCAAAGATGAATGAAGGTCTCAGAGGTTTGGAAGGACATGAGCAGGGCCAGGCGGAATCTGTGGATGTTTTTTTTTACAATTTCTGCGGAGAATTTTGGTAAAAATCTGTGGATTTCTGCAGAATTATTTTGGGAGTATCTTAACTAAAACTTTAATATGTGAAATAAAAATAATACATTTTTAACATGTATTTAATGTTTAAATTGCAAATCCAATTAGATTCACTTGATTTGGTAGACAAAGCAAGTCTCTCATATAATATCTCTACTAAAAGACAGAACATATTACTTTAGAGTCTGCATTGTACATAAATCAGATGAACATTTTCATATTAGTCAATAATATCACTGTAATTAATTTAAAAACTGGATAAAAATAGATTTACACACATTTACTCAAGTAAATAAACAGCATTAATTGCTAAATTGTGAGGAAAATCTGCGGAATTCTGCACGATCAGATTCCATATGGGCCTAGACATGAGCAATAAATAACATAAGTACAATCTTTTAAAAACTATCCATTTGATCATGGAGTAGAATAAGAAATTCAGTAAGGCAAGTAAAAGCCTGAGGCATGCAAAACTTTTAAAACACCAAGAATGCAATGTGTTTTTCAGTGTGAAACCACTCATATCATAATGATGAGGTAAACAGTTTATGTTAAGCACATTATGGTCAAACTTTAGCCATTAGGTCCCACAACACACACACACACACAGTGTCAGTGATATAAAGAAGCAACTTCATCATCTCTTGGTTTAAAGAGTCGTTGTGGGCTGACTGAAACAACAGACTTTTCTAATCTCTTCTCACCATTGAACCTGAAAAATACGGAAAAAGAGACAACATTATTCTCAGGTAACTTTAAGGTTAAGTTTAACATTCGCTTTAGAGAAAATCATGTTGAATTATTTTGTATTCTGCTTCTAGTTGTATTTCAGCAACTTGACTGTACCTTCCAGATCATTGGACTGAATGGAGATGAAGATTGTAGCTCTTCTCCTCATTGTAGCTGCTCTACAGGTGAGCTTGTGTTCTAGTATCAGTATTATTACGCACATCAACACTGATGATCTGATCATTATGATTCCTGTCACCGCAGGATCACAGAGTCGCTGCTGATGAAAGGCAGATAGTTCCACTGGATATGGCACTGAATTCAGTTGATGATCAATATAAGGACTGTACTCAGCAAATGGCAGATCTGGTGAAAACAAAATATCTCGAGAAAGAGCTCAATAACACAGATGATTTTAAAAAGGTTTGGGAATCAGGAAAAAAACATTTTAAAAATAAGTGGAAAAATAAAGGCTCATTAAAAATCGAACATGCAATCGCCATGTATGCGTACACCTACCCAGGAAACAAAAATATGTCCAAAATATTTGTCAAATTCAATAACGACACCAGTAATGGTAAAGAGAACTACAGAACCAACACGTACAACTGGTATTCTCTTCACTTTCTATTAACAGACGCAATACACATCTTGAAGAAAACACATACAGAATGCAATACTACTTTTCGTGGTACTAATGTTGCGTTTAAGGGTCAGGTTTTTACAAGCGTTCGTTTTGGCTCATTTGCATCCTCCTCTATTTATAGAGGCGTGGCAGAAAAAATCGGAAAAGTATCTTGTTTTGAGATTCAAACTTGTGAAGGCGCTAATATTGCTAGATATTCTAAGATTCATGATGAAGGGGAGGTGCTGATTCCTCCATATGAAGTGTTTAATATTACTCAAATCAAGACAAGAAATGAGCAGAATGATCCCTGGTGTGACATTGTGTATGTGTTGAAGAGCACTGGAGTAAGGAGTGACCTGAACTGTGCTCTATTCAAGAAGACTTAATAACAAAAGATACATTTATCCTCCTGAGACCCAAATATATATTTTTTCTTTTTCTGTGATTTCCTACATCATTTGGGTTAGAAGAAATTCTACAATTTAGAGTTTTTACATTTTGTTTTTATTTAAAATGTTACAGCATGTCCACTAAATTAATCATTTCTTCGGTGCACCGCGATGCAGACGCGGACAATTTGGTATCGGTTCAGTAATAATCATAACCGGTTATTACTGACGTCATTTACCTCATATGCGCTCTGTCGCGAGGAAGGCGAGCGCGAGTATTTACAACGCTCTAACTATTTAAAACTCATAAACTGTGCACAATTTCACTGTGTGTGTTTGCTGGATCAGTCTTTCACTGACATATACAACAAAAGCCCCTATTTCACTGAGATCGAGAGAATGAAAGTACTCAATTTCTCTCTCTCTCGCTCTCTCTCTCTCTCTCTCACACACACACACACAGTGGCCCATTTGACCTGCTTGTGTGACTTTTCTTCTCCTCTCGGCTGTTTTACAGCGTTACTTCTGGATACAGAAACGAGCGCATGTCTGCAGAGTTTTTCATGCATCAGCTGTGATCTGTGCTGCCGCCTGCCACTTATTAGTATCACTCATCTGTGAAGATGAGCCAATCGCAACCGTTTTTGTTCAGGGTGTGACCAATCAAAGAGGTGTAAGAGAACTAGACAAGGATCAGAAAGTGAGCTGGATATTTATATTCGTTTATATTAATTGCTAAATGCTCGAGTTGTTTAAAGGTACAGTTTATATTCCTGACTGTATTAAATGACAAAATTGTATTACAAATAATATATAAATATAAATATATTCATACATTTTAATACTAGAACTGCTGCTGTAAAGAAAATATAAAACTGTGTATGAAAAGCACCGTCAATGCACCGTGATGCAACGAAATATCGAATTGAACTGAATCGATGGCATGATATTCGTAACCGAACAGAACCGTGAGACTAGTGTAGGTTCACAGCTCTACATTTTAATTCGAAACAACCGCCACTCAGACCACAAAACTGTACAGGATATGGCTGTAAAGGGATCCAAAATTATTGTAACAATAACTAAACAAAAGTAATTTTTTCCTTTTGTATTGAAATTCCTGAAACAGTTTAGTCTGAAATAGAGCCAAACTCAAAAAAAGAAGTGATGTTATTCCAAAACAAATTTAACATAAAAGCAATTTAAAACTGATTGTCATTCTCTAATTGTCTCTAATTCTCTAATTGTCAGACTCTAAATCAGTCTCCCTCAACTATCTTATAAAGAATCCTCTCTGCTTCACTTCTGCCTCTTACAACATGCAGTCAATAATGACATTAAGATGGTCCTGGTGTTTACTATAGTGGACATTTTAAAAAGGATCATAAGCCCCTTTCACACAGTGATACCGGTAAATATCCGGAAATTTTCCAGAACAACTTTATGGGTAAATTAAAAAACAAACGCTGTTCACGCAGGCGAGGATGTTACGGATTTTTCCGGAAAAGACCGTTTACACATCCTTTAAAAAATACCGGTAACTTCTGACATCATTAACCAAAAATGAGCTCTAAACGGCTGCGCTTGTATTTGTAAACATTTGACTAAATTACAAACTCTGTGGATGATCAGTATTGTGAACAACTTCGATGAAAATATAGAGGAAAACTTTCGCATGTCGAGATGTACATAATATGTGTGTGTGTGCTAGCGCTCACTCATTCAAGGGCACACGTGACACGTCAAGCAAACTGAAGGATGCAGAGCTTGAAGGTACACAAACAACATCTTATCATAAGCATCTTATCGATAATTATTTACACAGTTGGCATTAAGAAGGAACATATAAAGTTATCAGACTAACATCCAGCAGCTAAATGTGTCTGGAAAAATATTCAAAGGCTTTTATTTTTGTAAACCGCGCGGACGTGAATGCGTCTAACGATTGACTAAAGTAGATGTCTCATGTCAGCACGCGCTCTTTCCGGCAATCTTCCTTCTGCGTTTACACAGCGCAGCATTCCGGCAAATTACCGGTAATGTTACAACTTCTCTTTCCGGAAAATAGCCAGAACAAATTTACTGGTATTTTCAAAGGGCCTGTTCACACATTCAGACCTTTCCAGAAAATTGCCGGTAATTTTCCAGAAAGGTCTGTATGTGTGAATGGGGCTATATTTTGAAACCAAAACAAGTTAACAGCTTTGAAAGCTAAATGTATTGTTCCTGACACTTAAATAAACAAATATACATGTAATAATAATGGTAAAGAAACATTTAAAAAGCTAAATTTTACATGCCTCTCTCCTTCCCATAAAATGTGCTTTTTTGAATGTCGGCCATTTTAGATGCAGTGTAAGAAGTGGGTTCTAGCATGCCAGCCAATCAAGTGACATATCACTAGAAAGCCCAGGATGTCCTGTGAACAGTACAACAGGACTTGACAGAGTAGCTCAAGTAGCTCAATTCTAAGAAAATTTATGAGAAGGCAATGTCCACTACAGAGGACACAAGTCAATGGGCGGGATCTCAAGAGGATATGTATATAGTGTATATCTTGTGAATATGTGTGTCTTTCACAGCATTTCAATATCTGAAAAAGAGAAGAAAGAAAAAGTTTTTTGTCAGCTAACCAGTTAACCAAGTGCATGTTGTTTGCTGTTATTTTCCAGTGATCGTTTCATTTATTGAATTGCAGCATTTGTCTGATTTCAAATTCACAAAGTAAAATGAGAAAGTGCGTAAGATGGGGTTTGTTTGTTTTTGTTTATATTCAGCTTCTTTTAAAAAATAAATCTTTCAAAGCCTTTTTTTCTCATATGTCTTATTTTTGGACTAAACAACCTTATGGAAAATAGTTCTTTATGACATTATACCATACCTGCAATCATTTGTCTTGTAACACATTGTCAGATTGAGGTTAAAAAAAATGCTTTGAGATTTTTTAAATTCTGTGAGGTGATGCGCTTCATACAAGATATGGCAAATTGACAAACATGGACAGATTTTTCGTAATAAAATTGGACCATACAAATCATGGGAGCTTCCCGGGAGAAATAAAAAAACAGGCAGTAGGTTGTGAAATCCGGGAGTATTGTCAGGTGTGCATTATCCTGTAGTGAAAACCCTGAGATGAAAGTGGGAATATTTTTTTATTCATAGCTAATAAAATATGTCTTATGCTGTGTTCACACCAGACGCTATTTGCGCATCAACCCTGCTTCATTCATGCGTCAAATCAGCTTCATTTGCGCGTCAAACTCACTTCAGAATAGACGCGGATTCGTGTGATGGGCAGGGCTTCTGTCTGCCCGGTGACTCTAGCTTTATTGCTAAATGGCTAGCCCGGATTTTATGAAGAAAATAACAGTGTTTATGTGTTTTATGAAGGCTGAAAAACAGCGTCAATACATTTAGGGTCGTGTCTGAGTCCACAAGATCCTTTCAGAGGTGCGTCCCGCTCTGTGAGCTCATTAACTTCTTCAGAATCTGAACCTGGATGATGGATGCTTTCAGCGGTGCTTCTGACTGAGCCGAGCCCAGTTTGAGGCACTGTTGTCCGTGTCGGCTGGAGGATTTCGCCCGGGACACCAACAACAGGCGAACGTCACAGTTACGCCCCCACAAGAGCAAGGTAGGTTAATGCGGCGTGAATGTCGGCTTAAGATCAGATTTTTGAACTAGAGCGAAACGCGCAAAACGCTCAATTTGCGCCACGCCATTCACACATTTCGTGCCTTTCACACCGCGCCATTCGGGCAATTTCGTCATTTGCGTATTATCACGGCGCAGGATGTCTATTCGAGCATTTGCATTGACTTAACATGTAAATCATTCGCGCTTGACGCACTTTCCACGTCTGGTGTGAATGCAGCATTATATTTCTGAAATAAAGTCTGACCCAGTTGGTTTGTAAAAACAGCCACTTCTGAATTTGACACTTTCGGCACTTGACAGATAGATCAGATGCTCAACATTTGTCCTGTGTGAAACCACAGGCCTTCACAAGTGCTGACGACTCTTTCACACTCTGTCTGAATTAATTTCCCTCGAAAAGTAGACCTGAAGACAGCCTTAAATGATTGGACACTATTAATGCATTGATGCTTTAATAAGAATATAAGAAAAGACTTATTAGCCTAAAATAAAAGTTATGAATAAAGATTAGGCAGCATGATTATTGCGCGGGTGTACCTTAGGCTGGCCACAATAAAAGGCCATTTTAAAATGTGCAGTTTGATCACACAGCACGATGTCACATGAGTTTTGAGAGAGCGCGCAATTAGCATGCTGACTGCAGGAATGTTCACCAGAGCTTTTATCTGTGGCTTCAATGTTAATAACATCCGTGGCCAATTCTACCACTTTAATAGCTCAAAAATGTGCTTGTAAATGGACATGAATTGTTGTTTTTAACAGGAATGTCATTGAAAGATGCATTGCTCACCGTGGTACATTTATTTGACTATTATGGGTCTTTGTTTTCATGTACTAAGAAGTTAACAGTCAATCCATCAGTAAATCACCTTTAAGACTACTTGAATAGTGTGGTATTGTACAAAAAGTGTAGCATAGTATCAAGCAACATCTGTTGTAGTAAAAAGAAACACCTGTTGCCTGAAGGAAGGTTCCCACCTATATTTTGGAAACAAAACCAAAATATAACCAAAAGCGACATACATGTACCTAACAATTTATAGACGAAATGGCTCTATACATGTATACATATTGGTGCTTTTAAAGGAACACTAAGCAACTTTTGCCAAATGATGTTATTTCAAAGAAGCAAAACAAACACATTCATGATCCAACAGAACCCGACCCTTTTTTTTATATCTATACTTTAGTTATTAGACGCGATCCTCATTGCTGATTAGCTGCAGTGTTGCCAACTTAGCGACTTTTCAGACCCCCCTAGCAACAAATTTACAAATAAGCGAATAGCGACAAATGTAGCGACTTTTTTGTGTTACTGGAGATTTTTATAGACTGTCATTTGTCCATACTGTACCGTCCCTACTCTTCTCAACGAGCTACGGGTGACGCCGCCAACCCCTCCCCCACCTCAGAGCACTGACAGGTGGCCCAGTTCTCGTACAGCACTCTCTCCCACCTGCAGCCTGACGGCAAATCACCCCTCTGCTTACCGACGGCAAATGATTTAGCACCGGCATTGTGAAGGTATTTCCCTTGTACAGTCAAACCGATCTATCTATAGATCTATAATGAC